TATTGATTTCAGCGAGAAAGGGAACAGGAGAGAGAGATAGAAACATCAATGATGAGAGAGAATCATTGATCGGCTGCTTCCTGCATGCCCCCTATTGGGGATCGAACCCGCAACCCGGGCATGTCCCCTGACTGGGAATCAAACCATGACCCCCTGGTTCATAGGTCGATGCCCACCCACTGAGCCACGCTGGCTGGGCGAGAAGTCATATCTTTTTGAGATTTTTTTAAACAAGACAAAGGCTGAGAACATGGATTTCAAGAAGGAATAGATAGTAGCTATGGAGATGGCAAACAGCTTATAATACTACTTTAGGTACGATACCATCTCTTAGCATTTTGTCCTAGTTATCTAGACAACACGGAAGACCCTAGACGTAGAACTGTAAGTCACTACCGCTAACATCTGTCTCCATTTCCAGCGGGCCCCACTCGCCCCATGTCCTGACGGTAAGAGCAGAGCCCCAGCCGGGGAAGTGTCTACTGGGGACCGAGCCCACAACCCGGGCCTGTGCCCTGACTGGGAACCGAACCGTGACCTCCTGGTTCAGAGGTCGATGCTCACCCACTGGGCATGAATGCTCTCATCAAACTCTCCCTTGAGTTTGCTCCGTCAGGACACAGCCCTGGGGCTGAGCCCCCTGCACCCCGCTGCACCCTGGGCTGGAGTGAGCAAGGCTCAGGGGAGCGCTGCCGGGCGAGGCGTTTAGGAACCTGCAGGCAGCTGTTAACCGCTGGTTACTCTCCATCGCGAGAGTGTTTACACCACAGAAAGCCACAGCCCTACAAATCAGGAATTGGGGCTTTAAAAACAGAGCCAATTTTTCGGCACAGCATGGCTGCACCGCCCCCAGGATAAGAGGGCATTCGGGCACATGGCCCAAGCCTGGTCCTGAAGGGGTCTTCCCAGGGTCAGAGAGGGCGCTGCCCAGGGCTGGGCGCTGGTCCCGCCTGGGACAGGCTCCCGCAGCCCCGCCTCCTGCACCCACCAGGACCTGCACCCAGAATGCCATGTGCCTTGGGGCAGTGGACCCCATTTCTGGTCCTGGTACCGAGACTACCAGCCTTGCTCCTTGCCAAGGAGTCTGCCATGGCTCTGACGAGTCTCTCTCTCTCTCTCTCTCTCTCTCTCTCTCTCTCTCTCTCTCTCCTCTCTCCAGTATGGCCACGTTCCACTTCCTTTTCCACAGCTGCCTAACTGTGATGCCAGCAGAGGTCAAGAGCCCCCCAGGTAAGTGACCATGAAGGAGTGGCTGCCCTGGGCACGTGGCCAGTCACCTTGGGCAATGCCTCAGCAAGCCCCCCCCCCAGAGGGGTCCCCACAGCACACCCTGCATTGGGGGAGGGGACCAGGTGGCCGCACTGCTCCTGGTTGGGCTGTGGCCCAGAGGCCCTAAGAATGGGGCTGGCACTGTCCTCCGGGAGTGACCTGCCTCAGGGGAGGGAGCCAGGCTGTTCTGGATATGAATTCACTTCGTACAGGAAGTGATTTAAAAGCTGACAGCCAGCCCAGCCCATGTGGCTCAGTGGTTGAGCATCGACCTAGGAGCCAGGAGGTCTTGGTTCCATTCCCGGGTTGTGGGCTCAGTTCCCAGTAGGGGGCCTGCAGGAGGCAGCCGATCCATGATTCTCTCATCATTGATGTTCCTACTCTCTCTCCCTCTCCTTTCCTCTCTGAAATCAATAAAAATATATTTTTAAAAATGTAAGTAAAACACTGACAGCCAGATGGACACGAATGATCTAGAAGCTGTGGGAGCAGCCGAGGGCAGCTGCGGCCACTGTCCCTCCCAGGAAGGGGAGCTGGCCCAGGAGCAGCCCTCCGGGGTGCCCCGCCCCTGCTCTCCGGGACGCTCACCCTTGTGGTGGGTGCCGCCCATTGGAACAAACTACTTTTTAAAAATGTTTTTTATTGGTTTCATAGAGGAAGGGAGAAGGAGAGAGAGAGAGAAACATCAATGATGAGAGAATCATGGATCGGCTGCCTCCTGCACACCCCACACTGGGGATGGAGCCTACAACCCAGGCATGGGCCCTGACCGGGAATCGAACCGTGACCTCCTGGTTTATAGGTTGACGCTCAAACACAAAGCCACACTGGCTGGATGAACAAACCATTTTTTATTTCAAACCGACTTCCCCTTGGGCAATGGCCACCCTGGCTCCTTAATGACGGCCCCTCCTCTCCTTCCCCAGGGGTGGCCAGTGTCCTCGGGGTGCACTGGACGGGCCGGCACAACTTCTTCCTCTATTCACTCAACCGCAACCTGAAGGACAGAGTTGGTACTTGGCCGCCTGAGCTCGGGGCCCTGGGAACATGTCCTGCCCCAGCTTAGCCGGAAGCGCGTGGCTGGCACATAGTGTGGCTTCAGGGACCAGAGCTGTGCGGGCAGACGTGGGGGACGTGGGGGCGGTGGTGTGGCCTGAGACTCTGTCTCAGAACTGTCCTGCTTCTTTTTAAAAAAATATATATTTTTTTATTGATTTCAGAGAGGAAGGGAGAGGGAGAGAGAGATAGAAACATCAGTGATGAGGGCGAATCATGGACCGGCTGCCGCCTGCACACCCCACACTGGGGATCGAGTCCACAACCTGGCATGTGCCCTGACCGGGAATCGAACTGTGACCTCCTGGTTCATAGGTCGATGCTCAACCCCTGAGCCACGCCGGCCGGGCCTGTCCCGCTTCTTAAAGACGACAGGTCAACAGGGACAAAGCCCAGTCAGGTCCCCAGGGCCCCTGGGCAGCGAAGGTCAGGAGAAGGTGGCCTTGACCTCAGAGGGCCAAGGCCAGAGCCCGGCCCGGCCCAAGTGCCTGCGAACTGTGCAGTCTCAGGCCGGTCACCTGGCGCCCCAATCCCCCGACTTCTCTGCAACACAGAGCTGGTTAATGACCGTCCTGCCTCCTGCTCACATTGGCTGTGAGCAGCAAACCGCGGAGTTTCTGTATGTGAAAGCACTTTCGCATCGACAGGCTCTTAGGAAATACATTTGTTGGGTTTTTTTGGTTTTTTAAAAAATATATTTTATTGATTTTTTTTTTTTTTTTACAGAGAGATAGGGAGAGGGATAGAGAGTTAGAAACATCGATGAGAGAGAAACATTGATCAGTGCCTCCTGCACACCTCCTAGTGGGGATGTGCCCGCAACCAAGGTACATGCCCTTGACTAGAATCAAACCTGGGACCTTTCAGTCCTCAGGCCGATGCTCTATCCACTGAGCCAAACCAGTTAGGGCCATTTGTTGGTTTTTTACATATTTACGGGGACCGGTTACACGAATAAGTTCACTCTGTGGTATTTCCTTGAGCGGAACACTTATGCTGTATTTTTAAAAAATATATTTTATTGATTTTTTACAGAGAGGAAGGGAGAGGGATAGAGAGCTAGAAACATCGATGAGAGAGAAACATCTATCAGCTGCCTCCTGCACACCCCCTACTGGGGATGTGCCCGCAACCAAAGTACATGCCCTTGACCGGAATCGAACCTGGGACCCTTCAGTCCGCAGGCCGACGCTCTATCCACTGAGCCAAACCGGTTACGGCTTATGCTGTATTTTGGAGTTATGCTTCCCAAGTACCTCTCAGCCTTCACAAAGGCAGCCTGGCCTCTAACCTGGGCTTCGGTGCTGACTGCCTAGGTGACCTTGGGAAAATCAGCCACTTCTGTGCCTCAGTCTCCTCATCTGTAAAATGGGAGCTAGCAGGACCCACCCATAGGACCCTGTGGGAATCCAATGGAGCGATGTGTGAAAGCGCTTCCCACAGCGCCTTTGCTCACTGATCATGAGCTGCAGTCTGACAGGCGTGTGACGTGTTCTGTCATCCCGAGCAAGGAGCTAGCGCTGCACGGACGGGGGAGAGATGGGAGTCCACACCAGCCCTCGTCCCAGACGGGCAGGCTAGCCTGGTCTCAGGTGGTGCCGGTGGAGGGGACGGGGGTGTGGGGCCTGGGGGGGCAGCCCGGTGAGTGTGTCCTTCCCGCTAGACCCCGAGGGCGTGTGGCCTTGTGCCGCGCCCATTGCCTTGTCTCAGCTCAGCGACTGCGGTTCCTACCTGGTGCTGGCCTGCGAGGACGGGGTGCTCACGCTGTGGGACCTGGCCGAAGGTGAGCCCCCCCCTCTGCCCGGCACCCGGGTGTATCTCCGGGTTCG